ACCCGTTTTGCCCGGGTATGTTAAGTATGAACCAGGCTCTCAAATTGAGGTCGGGGACGACATACTGGAAAAGGTGCGATAAATTATTTCGTTCAGCACTGGCGTTCCTCGTCTCGTTTAGTTTTGGTCCATCACAATTAACCTTTTCCCAGGCTCTCTCTTCATCCTGCTTGTCCTTCTCACTCTGTGGGGGAGGGGGTGGGGGGAGCTAGAAGACGAGACCCTGGGAACGAGGTTGCCAGCAAAACAACGTAAAGAATGCATTGCAATAATTTTGCGTAAACAATTCTTTACTCTTTATTGTGAAGGCAATTTTATTTCATTAGTAGAATTGTTTTCATTTTTGTATTTCTTTCAGATATTTTAAAAACTTGTGTCCATTTTATTCAAATAATGGTGTTTCTTTGCACAGACCAGGTACTTTTCATGGAGTTGCCATATGGATGGATTTCCATTTAACCGAAAAACTAACCGTTACTACAGGACTGCAGCAGGTGAGGCGTCTTAACTGTTTGTCTGCCTCTTTGTGCCGGTTTAAGCCACTCGTATATTTCTTTCTTTCTTTTACAGAATCAAGAGCTCGCAGAAGGGACATCAAAATTGAACTGGGTTCGTCACACAAAGCAAGGTGTTTATTTCATGCAGTTACCGACTCAGATTCAAGATGAAACCCTTGTAAAGGACAATGTTCCTGTTATTAGATACGCTGTCAGTTTTGAACCAAATTCTGGAGAGATCGACTTCAACTTTCAACTACACACAAGTTAACACCATTGGTTATCATCATGTGCGTCAGTGATTGTCAACGAACTGCACTGAACTTGCGGAATTCAGTGAATCTACTAGCTGCAGCTAGTTGCAATCACCCTTCAACTGAAAAAAACGAGAGACTCTCTATCAACTGCCGCAACTGTAGCAGTCATCATTTCACATATTGTAGTAAAGTCGAACCTCCAAAATGTTGACACCTGGTGCCAGAAAAAAGTGTCCAGTTGGGAGGTTTCCGCTCATGGGAGATTAAAAATCTGTTGTTATCATTATTTGTCCGCATACGAGAGGCGTCTGCACTCTTGAGGTTTCGGTTAGGGGAAGTTCGACTGTGGAATGACAGTTTCGCATGATTTAGGAAGTCCATTTTCATCTAAAAGACTATATTCCTGTCCAAGTTCGCTTGGTCCACTCCCAGCCTGGAAAAGAAATATTGAAAAGTTAATAACTTATCTTTTGTTGCTAAACGACATTTCCCGTTAGTGTAGTTTGCCAAGTGACCAGAAACCATGCTTCGATGGATGTAGGTAAAAGAAGTGGACGAACTTCTAACCACGACAAGTCAATGTCCATTCATTCTGACTACACTAACACGAGACATTCAATGTGAATAGTTTATTGAGGATGCGTCAGTCAGTAATTCGACACCCCGTGAGCCGACCCGTGAGCCTGTCCATCGTGCCGTCAGAATAATAATTACTGACTAATTCGTCCCTCAATCATCAGAGATTACATTTTTCAACACAAATATCTCATGGGTCATGTTATCCACTTAGTAAAACCCATCTCCTTACCTTTGAGAACAAATGTCTGTCAAGTGTCAAAACTGACAGATCTGGCAATCTTGAGGGAAACACGAATAAAGTTGTTTTACCGCGGATCGAAGGTGTGTCTGGTGTTATGTGATTGACATTTTGTAGTTTAGAAGTTATTTCTTGATTTTTAAGTGCAGACATGTCTATTTAAATGAAAATGTAGTGGAGACAAGTCTTGACGTGTTTTTTGTTAGAGCCGAACAAACTTTTGTCAGTCTAGTGCGGACGGGCCCTAGGATTGAGACACCTATGCAGACAAAGTAAGACACCGGGCAAACTAATAGCTTACAACAGCAAGGCTTCACGTGTTTTAAGTAAGAATACTCTAGTTGCTAATGGAATCACGAAACCATCTTGATTACCTTTGTTGAAATGATATACTTCACAGCTCCCTGGGTTGGTTCAATGGTTATTGATTCCAAAAGACTCTGAAAGCAACAAGGTTTATGAGTGGCACCATCAAGGACACAATATGGACTAATGAGTAGAGGGGCATGGGATTACCCATTCTGTGAGACAACTGGTTGTTTTATATTGGCACCAAGACTGAGAGTTTAACATCATGTGCGCTTACGCGAACAACGTTCCATTCACCATAAGATCATTTGCTTTTTAATCGTAAAAACATGCATAGTGTAAATTCTTTAACGGAAAGACACATTCCGAGCAGCTGTTGTCTTGTTTTCATAAAGCAGAAATGTAATGACGTATACAAACCTTTGATATCGTGGCTTGAGGATAAATTTCAATTCCTTGAACAAATCTGTGGACGTATTAGAGTGTGGTATTAGTAGCGTCAACCAACAGATAAATAAACGGACAATATTATTAGGTAACAGTTCTGGTGCGAGCAGGAGTTCCAAATGTCAATGCAGTTAAGTTTTTGTACTCTCACTCCTCCCTTACGCAGGGTAGTGTGAACCCTGGCAATCGACAGAAATCGACTATAGTACTCGTCCTCGAATCCAAACTAAAGGACACTTCTACTAAACATAGAAACTATGACTTGATTATCATACTTCAGAAAAGACTGCTCGGGCCTCACCAGTGGTACACAAGGCCAAGAAGATGCAAGTGCAGTGCATGCCTGCTTGCAATGTTCAGGGTAATTTAATCCTCACCGAAGCATAACATATGTACTTTTTACAGCTCGCGATAAAAATTTAAATGCATTTTTCCGTTATACAGTTCTACTCACCCGGCGTCTGTTTCTGGGGGAAAGAAATGTCTGATCAGAGCCAGTACTTCTGCAATATCGTTTTCCATCAGAAACAAAAACGCGTTGGGTCCTGCATCGAACGTGTAGGCAACCTTAAGGTATTTACAATACTTTCATCACAAACCCGCATTCACAGTTGTCTCCATTTTGCTTTTATGAACTTGGTCTCGTGTGTTAATATTACTGGAACAGAACTCGTGTAAGAAGTAGAGGAAACAGTTTGTGAAGGAAGGCGTAGCTGAAGGAACACCCTTCGGGACCCAAGCCTAAAACTGTTTATTTGTATATGTCGGTGAACGACAACAACCCCAACACATAAGGCTTCCTAAAGCTCCATTTATTTGGTACAGAAGTACATCAACTGAGGGTAGTCGAGACCAAGCGGGAAAAAATTTGTAACAAACGGTTTAGAAGGGAGAAGCAATGACCTGTTGTCTATCACAGTGAACTCCGAATGGTACGGCCCGGGCGGGACACACTGTGCCTTTCTCCTTCTAGGCGTGTTAAATGATCATCGAAAAAAAAGGAAAAACATAAATGATACAAAAAGTAAAACAATATAGAAACAAAATAAATCGGTCCCGATTATCTGTTAAGAAAACCTTGGCAAATGCTGCAGGTAAACCTGCCTGTAGCATTCCATCCGGGAGGAGGGGTGAATAGAAATACTCCTAGCTACATCGTGCGACTTGTGCCATAATTAGAAAAGGTAACAAAAGTACCTGGACAAATACCTAGTCATTGTAGATTGCATGCCATACCTTGGGTTCATGATAGAAGTTGTTGTACTGTGTAACCAATTGAACTATTCCGTGTGAGGTTTGGTTCATGTATGGTGGTGTTATTGGCGGGTATGTGTCCTGGCACACTGCATGTAGTTGATTGCTTTCCTAAATAAGAGGAAACGCACAACTTATCGGAGGGAGGTAAGGACAGAATGATTTAGTTAGCACAATTATTTCAACAGTTGCAACTTTTAAAGTAATACATCAAGTACGAAAGTCAGCGTTTGACCACATTTCTAAAATACGACGCGCAGCGGAGAATTTTTGACGATCTCCCAGGTGTTTGCGGTCAAACACGGTGTTGAATGTTTGATATATCTTCTCAACCGAAACCAAAACTAAGTTCACGGATTGGATAACAGACAAGTGATGCCAAATAGTCGTGCAACAACTGAGATTTAATTTAACCAAATCAGAGAAGATCTTGTGTGCCAAAGGATATATGATAACTTGTGACCAAAGCAACTGTAGCCTAGAGGACACCACTTGAAAGACCATCAGTGGTTTAATCTGCTGTGATCAACGCAAAACCTACTACATCACGTGGGATTTGAGAAACGCATCAGTTGCACAGCACCATTGTTGTTTTATTTAGCTGGACTTGATGGGAACCTTTACAGGTATTTATAAAGATGTGCAAGATATGCTCAATTTGAACGCGCAGTTAAAATACCTACAGTTTGTACTATGGATGCTTGTGTTTATGGCCGGCACAGAAAGCGCTGTCTTGAGACCTGCTATACGTTGAGTTTTGTAAAACTCCACGGTTAGTTATCATATGAACTGTACAATATTCTCACATCGCCTTAATCGTGGTGCTGGTGTTTATCGCGGAAGTATGTTCTGGTGGTTACCAAGATTTAAAAGCCTGTAGTCAGTTCAAAACCCTGCCACCAAATTTACTTAGACTCGAAAGATGGTGCGATGTTGCAGCAATCTGATAGACATTTTTTTTCGGTTGCCAAACTCTCATACAATTAACAGAGGTTGCACTGACGAGCTTGGCACCAGGAGCCTTATTAACTTACACCAAGTAGGTTGATAACTAACAAGATGGGCGCGCTAAGTATGCAGGCTTACCTTCATAGTAGTTTCTGCAAATGTCTTGAAATCTCTTTCTGATATTGCTTTTTTCATTACCTCCATTCTTTTGGGGACGCACAATTCTGACCTGAACTGCCAAAAGAGAGGCATGAAAACTTGTTCACGATCATTGTGAAAACCACGACTGGACTTTGCTTGGGTAACCGTCAAATGGAGACTATCATGGAAGATATAGGCCATTTCTGAGTAACGTTGTGCCTCTGTTTCATAACGAGTCCTAGTGCAAAACCTTTCTCATAAAAGTTTGATTTGTACGAAAATGAACCTGTAGGGGAGACACATTTTCACATGATTGGTTTTGAGCAAAGACTCGTTTTGACACAGAGGTAAAAGGCAACTCGGAAGTGGCCTATTCAAAGGTATTCTGCAACTTGTCTGCTGTAGTTAGCAAGAGTATGACAGTAAGCTGGGTTAAAAAGGCACCGTTTTATTTCAGAAATTCTCAGGGGTCCGTAGGTCACCATGCATAAATCCATTTTATATTGATACCCTGGTACATATCCTTCACTGTTTACCTTAAGCAGGTCGCTGGTTTCAACACTTCGTCTCATCCCCTCAGTGCTACTTGTACCCTTTTTGTGTTCATTCACCTATTAACAAAAAATGATCACACCTTGTAACAAATAGCGATAACAAATTGCTTCTTTTAAGTGTTCTAAATGACGTGTTAAAGAAGAATGCAATCAAAATGAAAATATATCAACTGAAGGCAATTTAACAAGAAGCATCATTTAGTTATTTCTTATGTGACAGGCCCTGGTAACCGGGACACTGAGAGGAAAGGTTTTTTTCAAAAAATGACGTTGAAGAAGATTTACTTAGTACAGAGTCAAGCTTAAAATTGAAAGAGGGCTTAAAAAAGGTTATTATGGTTAACCGCAATGTCATTTTCCCTCTAGCTAGCTTACCACCAGAATCAGGACTCTCAATCCTAACCAATGGTCTTCTGTAGCAATCTGTCAAATAGAAGTTGAAAGTTGCGGTCAATGTTTTGCAGTCACAAAGACATGATAAATTCTGAGCGGCAGCTCCTCAAGTGCTATTGATTTCCAGAGCCAGTACTGGCGTCACAAAGATTTACGGTCAGGATGAATCGGTCTATTTTGGTTAACAATGTTGAAGTGTCAGCAATAGCATGATGTGGTCGCTCAACCATACATCCACCATGCTCATAGAAAAGTGAACTGAGCAAGGTTTATCAAGATTTTGGCTGTCATCAAAACAGAAACAGCTTTCTAAGAATTGGTGGTTGTGTCCAGCAAATTATTTCGATATAGTGGCAAGAGTTATTTTAATTAATAACTCTTGCCACTATGCCAAACTCATTTAAAAACGTCAAATTGTCCTGCAGGTGGTAACCATGTCATAAGGATAAGGCTCCTTTGTATGCAAAGTGTACTTTTGGAGGTGTGGTCACAGAAATGATCAATAATTGTTAGTAGTGAATAACATTCCAGATCAAAAGAACTATGTTAGAGCCTTTTCACATTTCTTGTTTTGTCTTTTTGGTAGGACAGATTGCTCTCACAATGCTTTCTCTATAGATTAGAGTGTTCAAAAACATAGACATAAAAATTTCATTGGTGGCTCTAGACATGCATACAGGGTGACAAAGTAAGGTTAATGCATTGAGAAAGTACCTGCCTGACTGAGAACGTTCTTGGTCATGGGGAAACAGAATTATATTTAATCGTCTTTCCTCGCCAGAGTTCCATAGATCTTTTCTGGGAATATGCTGCTTTTATAGAAAAATAGCTTAACGATCACCTGCTTAGCAATGCTGTCAGATCCATCATCCTTTTCTCCTTTTTCCCACTCGACAAATCCTCCATACATACTGCGACAAGCACTTCCTGAACCCTGCCTGAAACACCATACATATAACATATAACAAGATTTATTAACAACTTGATCACTGGATAATGCAATTTGAGATTTTTCATTTGCTTAGCCATCAAGGGGTAGGAGCCATTATACCATGCTCTGCAAATATGGAAAGTGTACACATGATTTCTCGGGGATTTTGATTTTGATTTCAGTTTAGTTTTCTATATTTTGGGGGCGTTTGTAATTAAATAATTATTCCACTTGCAGTTGTTAGCTAACTACCATGTCATATCCAACATGAGCTCGTGCAATAATAATTGTTAAATATATACCATCGTCCTTGGATAATTCTGCACGTTAAGTGAGTGTAACTGCTAGAATCTTAGTCCTACTAATTATAAATATTGGGTTCTCTTTGGCTGCTATTTAAGATTTGTCAACTTGTTAGCTTGAGGATGTTCACACGCAAATTTTCCAACATCGATTTTTTTTCTGAAACTTTTACCATTGTAAGATAATGAGTTAGTTATGTCAGAAATGTAAAAAAATATGGGGGGTCACTGGCTTTGTTTTGGAGAAAACATGCCCAGTAGAACACCGTACATCTGAAAAAATTGGGCTTCGTTAGCGAATGAGGCCACAGTGTCTGTAAGCCCAAAAATATTGCAATTAGATCTTTGAAGTGAAACGTTCTCTGCCAAATATTGTTTAAGTGAACCTGTTAAGTGAATTTAGTCAATTGGTGAAGTTCCTTAAAGAACAAGTTCGCATTTAGTGTCCATAGTTTCACGCGCATTATTCGATTTCCCGTGGACAGAAATCTTGAAAATTTTTAAACTTCCCACATCGATTTTTTGTTCATTTTTGGACAATGTGGAGATAATTGTAAATAAAATCTGTGTCTGGAAAGAAAAGTAGGGGTCACCGAGCGGCCAAGATCGTTAAATCCAGGCAAAGCTATAACAATGGCCATCTGCCTTATCATTGTTCATTTTATTACTTAACGCGCGCTCTCATGCATGAAAGGATCGCCAAAAATGGCAGCACGCAAGTT